GAGAAAATAAAGCCACTCATTCACACATTATTCTACCATGTGGAGGCAGCCAGGGCCAACTTTTGTTATGTACACACACACATGCTATTCCATGTACACACACACACACATACACGCACGACTGTATTATTTGTATTGTATTGTAACTTTTTTCCCACTTAATATATTATTCTCAAATTTATTAAAGATACCTATTGAAGGCAGGACATGGTGGTTCGTGCCTATAACCCCAGTGCTTTGGGAAGCCAAGACAGAAGGATTGCTTGAGGCCAGGAGTTTAAGACCAGCCTTGGCAACAAGGTGAGACCTCCATCTCTATAAAAAAATTTAAAAAATTACCTGGGAGTGGTGGTGTGAGCCTGGAACCCCAGCTACTTGGGTGGCTGAGGCAGGAGAATCACTCGAGCCCAGGAATTCAAGGCTGCAGAGAGCTATGATTGCACCGCGCTACACCAGCTGAGACAACAGAGCAGGACCTTGTCTCTTTAAAAAAAAAAAAAAAAAAGATATCTATGGAGTGACTACAACGTGTCAGGTGCCGCTCTATGCACTGGGCTACAGCCTGTTGGCCAGGCTGATCTTGAACTCCTGACTACAAGTGATCCACCCGCCTCGGCCCCTCAAAGCACTGGTATTACAGGCGTGAGCCACCGCGCCTGGCCTGCTTTTCCATTCAGGTAGTTATGTGGTCATATTTGTATGCAGTGTTAGATTTTGTTTTATTCATTAAAAAATTTGTCAAGAACATTGACTTAAAAATAGGAATATTAAAAAGCATAATTTTTATTTTTATGTATTTTATTTTATTTTTTAAGTTCCAGGGTACATGTGCAGGATGTGCAGGTTTGTTACCCAGGTAAACGTGTGCCACGGTGGTTTGCTGCACCTGTCAACCCATCTTCTAGGTATTAAGCCCAGCACGCATAAGCTCTTTTTCTTAATGCTTTCCCCCGCCTCCGCCCTCCCTCAACAGGCCCTAGTGTATGTTGTTCCCCTCCCTGTGTCCATGTGTTCTCATAAATACATGATTTTTAATCATTATCTAATATTTTACTAGGTAAATGAACCGGCATTGTAATTAACACTACCATTTCCTTATGGTTGGATGTTCTGGTTGTTTTTAATACTGTACCCTTATAAATAATGTGGCCATAAAATCCTTCATCACAGCGATCTTGGTCTTATCTCTGAATATTTTATTGGACAAATTCCTGGAAGTGAGGTGACTGACACAAAGCAAATGAATTTTTCTTTCATAATGGCTGAAGGCTCGAATACATGGAAGAGAAGTTATTGATACCTTCGCATGAGGATATTTGATTTGTTCAATCAGTTGTTAACGGATGACTTGCTGTTGAGGTCACGATTCCATAATTTTGGAATTATTATCCAGTTGGTGGCAATTGCTCAGATTGAAATCAGAATACTTCGGAGGTAACATAGAGCATCTTGCATTATGTGTTGGACTTAAACTCTTTAGGAATGGCCAGTTTACAGCTAAAAGACATACAAGTAGAATCAACGTAAAAATATATAGAAGAGACTTAAGAGCATTGTGCGGACCTTACTTGTATCTGACTCAACAAACGATTGCTAATAATGATAATGTATTACATTTATAGGACAATTAGAAATTTTAAAAGGGGCTGAATTTTGATAATATTAAGGCATTCTTATTGACTTTTTATATGTGATGTTGAAAGATGAATCCTTATTTGAAAACACTGAAGATAAAATGAGGCTGGGCGCAGTGGCTCACGCCTATAATCCCAGCACTTTGGGAGGCTGAGATGGGTGGATCATTTGAGGTCAGGAGTTCCAGACCAGCCTGGCCAACATGTTGAAACCCCATCTCTACCAGAAATACAAGCAATTAGCCAGGTGTGGTGGTGCACGCCTGTAATACCAGTTACTTGGGAGGTTGAGGCAGAAGAATAGCTTGAACTGAGGAGGCAGAGGTTGCAGTGAGCCAAGATCATGCCACTGCAATCCAGCCTGGGAGACAGAGCAAGACTCCGTCTTAAAAATAAATAAATAAATAAATAAAATGATATGATGTCTGAAATTTTCTTCCAGGTTATTTGGGGGGTGGTTGATGGGAAGCCTTGGCCTTGAGTTGACAGTAGTTGGGGCTGGGGTCTGGGTACGTAGAGACTCATTTATATCAGAGGTCAGCAAACCGTGGCTGAATGGCCAGATCTAGCCCACTGCCTGTTTTTGTAAATAAAGTTGCATCAGAATACAGCCTGGGTACGTAGAGAGTCATTTATATCAGAGGTCAGCAAACCACGGCTGAATGGCCAGATCTAGCCCACAGCCTGTTTTCGTAAATAAAGTTGTATCAGAATACAGCCATGCCTATGTGTTTGTGTATTTTCTCTGGCTGGTTTTTTCGCACAACAATAGAGTGGAATTGTTGCAACAGAAACCATCTGGCCCACAAAGCCTAAAATATTTAGTATCTGACCCCTTACAGAAAGAATTTGCCAATCCTTGACTTATACTATCCTACCTACTTCTGTTTACGTTCAAAATCACTCATAATACAATATTTTTAAAATAATTAACGTAAAAAAATCTCTATGGTTCCTACAACTACTACCATAGAGTACTGTTCATCTACAAACACTATCTCAAACACATTAAATCACGGCTGGAATATCTGTGGGGTTATTCTTTTATAAAAATTTATTATTATTATTATTATTATTATTATTTTTTAAGACAGAGTTTCACTCCTATTGCCCAGGCTGGAGTACAGTGGTGCAACCTGGACTCACTGCAACCTCCACCTCTGGGGTTCAAGTGATTCTCCTGCTTCAGCCTCTTGAATAGCTGGGATTACAGGCATGCACCACCACGCCCAGCTAATTTTGTATTTTTAGTAGAGACAGGGTTTCACTGTGTTGGCCAGGCTGGTCTTGAATTCCTGACCTCAGATGATCCACCTGCCTTGACCTCCCGCAGTGCTGGGATTATAGGCGTGTGCCACCGTGCTTGGGCAAAATTTATTATTCTACATAGGTGATAGATACATGCATGGTACAAGATTCTTAGAACATGCTCTGGAGAGTAAGCCTCTGTCTTGCCTCTGACTCTCATCTATGTAGTTTCCTTCCCTGGAGGTTCTGTTTGTATTCTTCCAGGGATAACCTCTGCATGTACAAACATAATATAAATGTCTAATAGCTTTTTCTCCCCCATAAAAATGACCACATACTATTATTTATTTCCCTTTTCTCAGTTAATAATATGTATTGGAGATCTTTCCATGTAGGTTTATAATCACTCTTAAATGTAATTATATATGTATGTATATATATACACACATGTATAATACACACACTCTATGTAAAAACAGGCTTTTTATTTGTGGACTTTTTATTTATTTGGAAGAATTACAGGGACACAGGGGCAACAGCCATGAAACTGAACCCTGGAGAGAGTGCATTGGTTGGAAGTAGAGGGTAGGGTGGGAATATTTCAATATGCTTCCAAAGAGCAAGGACAGAAAGAATTCAGCACGTTGGAGCTTGTTTATTATTTTAAGGTCCATTCTCTTCTTTAAAACAGCAAAGAAAGACAAAGATCAATTAGCAAATCCTGTTTGCTCTACCTTCGAAATGTCTTAGAATCTGAGCACTTCTTCCTGCTCTCCAACCTGGCCAAAGACCTCGTCCCCTCTCAGCTGGCTGCCCTGACAGTCTCCACGGGGCTCCTGGCTGCTACTCTTTGCTTCCTGCAGTCATGGAGGAAGATATAAGGTGTTACCAGCTATGAAACGCCAGAGGAGAGATGTCTGTTGAGGATGGGTGCGGTTCAGGGAAGATGTTGGAGAGGAGTCCAACATCTTTTTATTTTAAAGATGATTTTAAACTAGATCTTTAAAGATGAATAGGACTTTTCCAGGTGAACTAGGACAAGAAGGAAGATTCCAGGCAGATGGAACAACATTTGTGAAGTCAAGGAGGTGAGGAAGAAAATGGTGAGCTCAGGGGAGTTCAGAAAGTTTGTGGTAGTTGCGTGTGTGTGTGTGTGTGTGTGTGTGTGTGTGTGTGAGAGAGAGAGAGAGAGAGAGAGAGAGAGAGAGAGAGAGAGAGCAGCCGTAGGGGAAAAACCTGGAAAAGATAAACAGAATGAATGAAACTTCATGTGAATGAAACTCCATGCCCACAAGCTTAGATTTTATGGAGTAGACCAGGGGCTGAACACTGAAATGCCTTCGGAGGTGACGTACATACGTCTGTGAATGAGGATGCCTGAACATAAGAGAAAACTTGTGTGGCACAAGTGTGCTGATAAAGGACAAGACATGCTTTGGCATGAGCAAACTAAAGTGCACAGTCATTAATCATCTGAGCCAGTGCTCGGTCCAGGGAAACCTGGGCTCAATAATTGCAGGTCTTAGGATTTTTAGAGAGAGGCTGAAAATCTAGATTTCTATGAGAAAATTGCAAATGCAGACCTCTTGGCAACAATTTCAAGTAAAAAAATATAGTATGGTCACTACTGGGTAGATCAGACAAAATATGTCTGTACGTTGGAGTCAGCCTAAGGTCCATGAGTTTGAGATGCCTGATGGGGATGGTGGGTGGTGGTTTATTTGTTGATTTGATCTGAGGGGTCTAGACTTGCTCATATGTACTCTTTGTTGCCACTCTGTCCTTTCTCAGGCTGTGCCCTCTGTATTAGGGTTCTCCAGAGGGACAGACCTAATAGTATCTATGTACATATGACAGGGAGTTTATTAGGGAGAATTGGCTCACGCAATCACAAGGCGAAGTCCTACGATGGGCTGTCTGCAAGCTGGGGAAGAAAGAAGCCAGTAGTGGCTCAGTCCGAGTCCAAAAGCCTCAAAAGCAGGGAAGCTGACAGTGCAGCTTTCAGTCTGTGGCTGAAGGCCTGAGAGCCTCTGGCAAACCACTGGTATAAGTCCAACAGTCCACAGGTCAAAGAACCTGGAGTCTGATGTCCAAGAGCAAGAGGAACAGGAGGAAGCATCCAGCATGGGAGAAAGACGGAAGCCGGAAGACTCAGTAAGTCAGCTTATCTCACCTTACTCTGCTGCTTTTTTCTAGCCATGATGGCAGCCAATCGGATGGAGCCCACCTACACTGAGGGTGGGTCTTCCTCTCCCAGTCTGCTGACTCAAATGTCAATCTCCTCTGGTAACACCCTCACAGGCATACCCAGAAACAATACCAGCTCTACAGGCACCCTTCAGTCCAATCCGGTTGATACCTAATACTAACATCATGGCCTCTGCCTGTGTATACTTCAAGAATGATTTGAGATGCCCTTTACTCGTGGAAGCCCCATGCTGGGTTAGAGGCCCTTTCTCTCTACTCTTAGACTATGAGGCTTTCCTGTATGTGAGCACTTAATGGTATTGCTCTATCATTATCTGCTCACAATCAGTCTCTCTTATGTAGTTGAGCTCTGTGAGGACAGAGCTTGTGCTTTACGTATCTAAGTTAACACTTGGGCCTGGCTTGCTTAATATATTTGTTGAGCATGGTTATACTTTATGGGCCAACCAGACTGGTGAAGACAAAAGTTTTGTTTGACAGAGGCAGGCCGCTTTCCCAATTTTGGCCTGGGTAATCTTCAAGGCATGGTCTCCATTTGTAAAGTGGGGATGATAATACTCACTCTGTTCGTTGTGAGGATGAAATGAGATTATACTTCATTAGCAAATTGCTTGACAAGCCGTTCACTTTTTTTATAAAAAGGAAACACTTACTATTAATAGCATTGGTGTCTATGATGTCATCTGTTTGGGACACACCAGGCACGTAGAAGGAAGTCTGGAAATTGTGTGTTAGAATGGTTCATGGCATTCCCATGGTCCACAGCCCATGATTTACGGGTGGACAGACAGTGTTATTTGTGAGCAGAAAGGTCAGAACACAGATAATTCAGGCTGAACCAGATTTCCTGATCTCTAGCCTAGATTTATTTGTGTTGAGGATGTTCCAAGGGGTAGAGGGATGCTCGGTCAGACATGGGGAAAACCTCTCATCCAGGGACATAAATAAGAGCAAATGTTGGCAATAGGTGTCTCAAACCTATTTAGCCTACAGCAGAAATTGGCATACAATTCCTGTAAGGGATCAAATAGTAAACACTTTACAGGGCACACAGGCTCTGTTGCCATTACTTAATACTGCCACTGGAACACGAAAGGAGCCATAGACAATATGTAAATGAATAGCCATGACTGTGTCCCAATAAAACTTTATTTCAAGCAGGGGGCCAGATCTGGCCTGCAGGCTAACCCCTGTTAGGTTTACCAACCCCTGTCCTAGAGCCTTCAGATCCCATTGATATGGTAAGAGCTACAGAGGGGCATTGTTTCAGAAGACTTTAAGGTCTCCTCTACTGATTGGGGTAGAATTAGAGTAGGAATTCTCTCTCCCCTGTATTTTCTATGTTGGATACATGTAATTTGGTATTTGCTAACTGATGTTGTTAAGGTGGGGCTCAGGCTTACGTCTCTGTTGACAGAAAGAGTCAAACTCTGTAAAATATTTGAAGAGATTTATTCTGAGCCAAATGTGACTGACCATGGCCTGTGATACAACCCTCAGGAGTCCTGACAACATGTGCCCAAGATGGTTGGGGTACAGTTTGGTTTTATACATTTTAGGGAGGCATGAGACATCAATCAAATACGTTTAAGAAATACATTGGTTTGGTTCAGAAAGGCGACACAACTCAGGCCCTGGGGGCCTCCAGGCTATAGGTGACTTTAAACATTTACCTGGGATTGATGGAAAGGGAATGTTCAGGTGAAGACAAAAGATTGTGAAGACAAGGTTCTTTTGAAGTCTCATTGTGGCTGCCCTTAGAGACAACAGATGACAAATGTTTCCTGTTCAGATCTTTAAGAGGTGCTAAACTCTCAGTTAATCTCTTCAGAATTGAGAGGGCTTGGAAGAAAAAGATCTAGCTATATTAATAGAGATTCTTTACAGAGGCAAATTTTCCCCTACAAAGAACAGCTTTGCAGGGCCGTTTCAAGATATGGCAAAGAAACATGTTTGGGGGTAAAATATTTTGATTTTCTTCCTTGTCTCGTAATGTTATGCCAGAGTCAGGTTGGAAAGTAAGTCACGATACAGAGGATTAAATAAAACCCATCTGATGAGAATTTATGGTTTGTATGGCATGACTCCCCAGACCCCTTAGATAGGAATTTGGACAAGACAAAAAACATCAGGCCGGGCACCGTGGCTCACGCTTATAATCCCAGCACTTTGGGAGGCCAAGGCGGGTGGATCACGAGGTCAGGAGATTTAGACCATCCTGGCTACCATGGTGAAACCCCGTCTCTACTAAAAATACAAACAATTAGCCGGGCGTGGTGGCGGGCACCTGTAGTCCCAGCTACTCGGGAGGCTGAGGCAGGAGAATGGTGTGAACCTGGGAGGCGGAGCTTGCAGTGAGCCGAGATCGCGCCACTGCACTCCAACCTGGGCGACAGAGCGAGACTCTATCTCAAAACAAAACAAAACAAAAACAAAAAACAAACAAACAAATCAGAGCTTAGTCCTCATCTCCAACACCAGGATGCTGGAAGTATCCCAGTGGGGAGGTTTAAAAAACTCAGACTTTGGAGCCAAACTGGGTCTTAATCATATCTGCATTTGCCAGCTGTGTGATCTTGAGTGAGTTATGGAACTGCTGGATGCCTCAGTTTCCTCATCTGTAGAATGGAAGTTATAATTCCTATTTTGTAGGAGTGTTGAGAACATTAAAGGCGGTAAGAACATGTAAAGTGATGAGGGCTGGGCTTCTCAGTCTCAACACTTGATATCTGGGGCTGGATAATTCCTTGTCCTGGGGGTGCTGGCCTCGGACTGGAAGGATGTTTGCCACATCTCAGGCCTCTACCTACAAAATGCCAGGAGCACCCCTCCCCCAATTTTCACCACCAAAAATGTCTCTAGTGGCTGGATTCTTCCTTCAGTCCCCCAAGAACTGTGGCCTTCTGGGTTAGATCAGTGACTATCGTCACCAAAGACGATATGCACTGTTGAGTGCATAGAAAGAATTTTCTAAGATCTCCCGCCTTTCTTGCAGCCGAGCTCAAGAAAGATCAGCTGCTGGGACTCTAGGTTAGGCAAGTGCAGTGGGATGCTTTGAGACATGCTTCCACTTTGGAGAGGGACCGTGAGCCCAAGTACGAGCTTCTCTTCTCTTCCCTGATAGCAGCTGCACAGGCAGGAACTTTGAAATCCTAGCTTGGAAAGCGATGACCATTTTTATTTTTCCTTACCACAAGGTGGCACTCCGATGCCTGCATTGGAAACTGGGTCGGCTGGAGAGAGGGCTCCTTGGACCACCGTGCAAATAGAAAGCCACTGCTCTCATCCATATTTGCTTTACAATCTATGCTAACAAAATGTGGTAATTTTATTCCAAACACGTAAATATTATTGAGTTTGCCAAGGATGTTGCCTGAATCCGGGATAGAGGACTGACACTCAGGACTAAGAGGGTAGAGGAGGGAGAAGGCTGGGGGAGGAACAGAGAAGCTTGCCCACCCTGCCTGACTTCAGCTATTCATTCCATTTATTTATGCATTTTGGTATTAGTGCACTGCAATGCGGATTTCTGTGGGACTGAGGCTCATACAGACCCTGTTCTCTAGCCTCAGGCTACTTTGCTGTTTGCGCTAAGACCAGGATGAGGGATTACAGAAGCAGAGACGCACCTGCCTGGGCTGTGGTGTGATTTCGCTCATCTGCTCAGCCCTCCTTGGTTTCTTCTCTTTCCTTCTAATTGATTAATGTCTGATACCTTCTTTAACTGAGGGGTCCAGTTTCCCTCGAAGGTCAGACCTCAGGTTTGCATAATTTCAATAAATGAGAGCCACATCCTGTCTCCACCCAAGTCAACATCACCCCACGACTAGCCTGGGATTCTTGAGTCTTATCTGCATTGTAGAAAAGAGGAGGTGCCAGAAGCACTGGGCTTCCCCATGAGCCAGTCTCCTTTTTATCTGTCATAGCTTCAGAGACAAAGGATTTCATTGAGTTTGCCATACTCCCCACTCAGTGCTTTCTTAGGAGCCTGGAGTCTTTTGGATGAGAATTTTCCTAAGAACAACAGCAGAGAGCAAAAATCAGAAGCAAACCACCACCACCACCACCACGACCACCACCACCACCACCACCACCAGGGGTGAGAAATCGTATTTATTTAACTTACTGAGTAGAAAATTCTAGGATACAAGTTATAGTTTTCTGTTATAAACATCTTATCTGAACTAATTTTGCTGGATCACAGAGAATTTTGAAGCACAGAATTTAAAATATGTATACATCTATTTCAACTATGTGAACTGTCTCAGGGCACTTCATGACCTGCTTTTCTTGCTACTTCTCTAGGTTTATTTACTGTCATCCTAAACTCAAGTGTTTTGCAGATTCTTGGTCTGCAGTCTGCCATTCCTGCAGGTTGTGGAGGCATGAGTTGAGCTTGCATTCACTCCATCATCCCCTTATTAGTTAGGATTCTTTGGTTTGCAAGTGACAGAAACTCACCTCAAGTTGGTTTAATTAAAAAAATCGTGCATATACATGATTTATTGGTTACGTAACAGATAAATTCAAGGGATTCATAATCTGCTTTCAGGAACAGCTGGATCCAGGAGTACAAATGGTGTCATCAGAGCTGCATTTCTTTCTCTCTGCCGCTCATCTCATGTAGTCTTTATTCTAGGCAAGTTATCTCCATGTGATGGTTTAGAAAAGCTCCAGTCTTCCCTTCTACTTGCTTAGCAATCCCAGGGGAATGAACTTCTATCAAGAGTTTGGAGTTGGAGGGTCATTGGACTGCCTTTGGTCCATGTATGAAGCAATCCCTGTACCAGGGAAGAGTTGTGCTGGTTGGCCAGATCCTGGTTACGGTATCATCGCAGCGCCAGGAAATGGGAACAGCTTAAATCATGCAGACTGAGAGTTGGGAAAAGAGGAGGGTGGATTTACAAAGGAAAATTGAGATGCTGCTGCCCAAATTCTGGACAAGCAAATTGACAGATGCCCATTCTAACTGCCCCACTCTGGTGGACAGCCTTCAGCTCAAATGCCACCTTATCTGTGGCATCTTGTCTGACCTGTCACCTTCTTCGTAGCCTTGTGCAACATTTGGACATCCCTCCTTTTAAACCATATTTGGAAGCAGCTTTGTAAGGGCAAGGACCGTACCAAATTCACCCTTTTTATTTTTGGCGTTTTAATTCTACAACCTTAAATTAGTTTAAAAAATATTCTTTCCCACTGAGCCACTTTAGATACCTTTCATAACAGAAATCTATTTATTTTTCTATTTACGTTGACTGTCAGGATGCTCAGAGCAAGTTTTGCTCAGCTTAGATAAATACCCTAACCTAGACTTTCTGGTATAATTCTTCTACTCATCTCTCTGTTTTCATGTCTTGACTTTCATCTTTTTACTCTTTAAATAACCTTTATTTTATTAGACTTTATTTTTTGGAGCAGTTATGGACTCCCAGCAAAATTGAGCAGAACACACAGAGATGTCTAAATACTCTCCACCACCATACGTAGTTTTCCCCATTATCAACATCCCCCAGAGTGGAACCACCAGAGTGGTTCATTTGTTATAGCTGATGAACCTACATTGACTCATCATTATCACCCAAAGTTCATAGTTTATATTAAGGTTCACTCTTGATGTTGTACATTCTATGGGCTTGGACAAATGCATAAAAATATGTGTCTACCACTGGAGTATCATACAGAGTAGATTCACTGCCCTAAATATTCTCTGTGCTTCATCCCTCCCTCCCCCTGGCTCCTGACCACCACTGATCATTTTATTGTCTCCACAGTTTGCCTTTCCCAGAATGTCATATGGTTAGAATTACAAAGTATGTAGCCTTTTCATTTTGATTTCTTTCACTTCTTTAACTTAAATATGCATGTACATTTCCTCCATGTCTTTTTATGGTTTAACTCATTTCTTTTTAGCACTGAGTAATATTCCATCAACCGGACGTACCACAGTTTATTTATTCATTCACCTATTAAAGAACATGATGGCCAAGTTTTAGCAATTATGAATAAAGTTTTAGCATGCAAGTTTCCTCCATGTCTTTTTATGGTTTGATAGTTCATTTCTTTTTACCACTGAGTAATACTTCATCAACTAGGTGTACCACAGTTTGTTTATTCATTCACCTATTAAAGAACATGATTGCCACATTTTAGCAATTAGGAATAAAGCTGCTATAAGTATCTGTGTGCAGATTTTTGTGAAGATGCAAATTTTTAACTCATTTGGGTAAATACTAAGGAGTGGGATTACTGGGTCATATGGTAAGAGTATGTTTAGTTTTGTGAGAAATTGCCAAACTCTCTTCCAAAGTGTCTGTATCATTTTGCATTCCCACCAGGAATGAATGAGAGTTCCGGTTGCTCAGCATTCTTGCCAGCATTTGGGATTGTCAGTGTTCCTGATTTGGGACCATTCTAATAGGTATGTAGTAGTAGTAGTAGTACTTTATTGTTGCTTTAATTTTCCTAATGACATGGTCTGCAGCACTTTTTTTTTTTTTTGGAGACAGAATCTCTCTCTGTTGCCCAGGCTGGAGTGCAGTGGTGCAATCTCAGCTCACTGCACCCTCTACCTCCCGGTTCAAGCAATTCTTCTGCCTCAGCCTCCTGAGTAGCTGGGACTACAGGCATGTGCCGCCACGCCCAGCTAATTCTTTTGTACTTATTTTTTTTTAGTAGAGACGGGGTTTCACCTAGTTAGCCAGGATGGTCTCAATCTCTTGACCTCATGATCCGCCTGCCTCAGCCTCCCAAAGTGCTGGGATTACAGGTGTGAGCCACTGCGCTCGGCCAGCATCTTTCATATGCTTATTTTCCATATGGATGTCTTTTTTTTTTTTTGAGACAGAGTCTCAGTCTGTCACTCAGGCTGGGGTGCAGTGGCGCGATCTCGGCTCACTGCAACCTCTGCCTCCTGGGTTCAAGCAATTCTCCTGCCTCAGCCTCTTGAGTAACTGGGATTATAGGTACGCGCCACTATACCCAGTTAATTTTTGTATTTTTAGTAGAGACGGGGTTTCACCATGTTAGCCAGGCTGGTCTCAAACTCCAGACCTTATGATCTGCCCACTTTGGCCTCCCGAAGTGCTGGGATTACAGGCGTAAGCCACCATGCCCAGCCCATATGGATGTCTTTTTGATGAGGTGTCTCTTAAGGTCTTTGACCCATTTTTTTTTTTTTTGTATTAGGTTGTTTTATTTCTTATTGTTGAGTTTTAAGATATCTTTGTATGTTTGGAACAATAATTCTGTGTCAGACATGTCTTTTGCAAGTATTTTTTTCTCAGTGAGTGGGTTGGCTTTTCATTCTATTGATAGTGTCTTTTACAGAGAAGGAATTTTTAATTTTAGTGAAGTCCAACTTAAGAATTGGTTCTTTCATGAATTGTGCCTTTGGTGTTGTGTCTAAAAGTCATTGTCAAATCCAATGTCATCTAGAATTTCTCTTATGTTATTTTCTAGTACTCTTACAGTTTTGAATTTTGCATTTCAATCTACGATCCATTTTGAGTTTTTTTTAGGGCTATAAGATCTGGATCTAAACTTTGTTTGTACATGGATGTCAGGTTGTTACATTGGTCAAAAACTGTATCTTTTCTTCATTATGTTGACTTTACTCCTTTGTCAAATATCAGTTTATATATGTAAGCCTATTTCTGGACTCTCTGTAGTGTTCCATTGATCTATTTGTCTGTTCTTTTACCAGTACTACACTATTTTGATTACTATAGCTTTACAGTAAGTCTTGAAGTCAGGCAGTGTTCTCCAACTTTGTTCTTCTTCTTCAATATTGTGTTAGCTATTCTGTTTTTTATTGTTTTTTTTTTTCTTTTTTCTTTTTTTGGCCTCTCTATATAAACCTTAGAGTCAGTTTCACAAAATTCACAAAATTCATGTCAATATTCACAAAATTACTTTCTGGGATTTTGATTGAGATTGTGTTGAGTCTATAGATCAAGTCGGGAAGAACTGACATTTGACAAGATTGAGTCTTTCTATCCATGAACATGGAATATCTCTCCATTTATTTAGTTCTTGTATTGCTTTCATTAGTTTTGTAGTTTTCTTTATATAGATCTTATACATGTTTTATTATATTTATATCTAAGTATTTAATTTTTGGAGGGAGTGCTAATGGAAATGGTATTGTGTTTTTAGTTTCAAATTCCATTTGTTGATTGCTGGTATATAGGAAATCAATGGACTTTTCTATATTAACCTTGTGCTCTGCAACTTTGCTATAATTGCTTATTAGTTCCAGTAGTGTTTGTTTTTGTTGGTTCTTTCCAATCGATCTAAAGGAAAAACCTCCCTACCTATTACCAAATTGGAGGAGAATGTTGCTGCCTTCTGGGAGATATATACAGAGAAGTTTATAGCTAACAGCTTTCTTACAACTTGAAGGAAATTGGTTTTAAGATAATACTATTGCTTTGGCTGGCAGAGTAGCAAGATGGAAAGAACCTAGGTCCTTAACAACAACATTGAGCGGCTGAAAAAAACCAGCTCTGAATCCCGCCCAATCTCGTAAATCCCTAGACTTCCTGTTAAATGAGATATATTAAATTGTCTTTATTGTTTAAGCTAGATAAAGTTGATATTTTGGTTATTTGTAGTAATAGTTTTCCTTTTTAAAATAGACTTTAAAAGGAAATTGAAGTTTAGAGAAGTTAGCACCAATAGCAGCAGCAACAACAACGATATTAAATGACAAAGCAAGACTCCAACCCTTGATAGTCTGCAGCCTACACTCCATGCCCAAACCCAGTCCCACAGTGTTGCCTCCTAGTGAATACAATATAGAAAGTGTTTGGGAGTTTGTCAGGGGCTTGAAGAAGGGGGAGAGAAATAACTGATAACTAGGGAAGATGTGGAAAATATTAAATACACCTCATTATTCCCATAGAACATGAAACAACAGACATGCCAGCAAAGAGAAAAAATGTTTGGTTCAAAATCTAGTAGAGAGATACAGTTATACTACAAACTTTGATAAACTTCATAGGACTTGAATTTTAATATAAACTACAATTGATGCTTTTGTATATTTTTGGAGGGATTACCCTACCCTTTTTAATCTTCCTTCCCTTCATTTCTTGTTCTGTGATTAGGAGATGAGATCATTTTCCTACTCAAAACCAAAAGAAAAAGCCCACATCCCTTTATTCCAGAATAAAGGATAGGTTGACAAGTCATGACTACTTGATTTTACTTTTGTTCTTATCTCCTGGAGTGTGACTTATTGGACCTTTGCCTAAAGTTGGATTTGCTTGTCACTTAGATGTTGCAAAGAAGCTTCACAAAAGCTCTCTCAGCAAACTTGCTGATTGATGGAATGGATGATGCAGTTGAGACTGAAATTTGCTGAGAGACAAAGTAGAGAAAAGTTTTGATTGTTAGAAAAATGAAGAAAGTAACTTCACTAGAAAAAGCAGAAGTTGTTTTCAAATAGTAGGCTCCCCTGCATGCTGTAGGACCTTAAATTTTTATTTTGAAAAGTTTTAAGAATACAGAAAGCTTGAATAGGCACTTCTCAAGGAAGATGTAATAAATGGCCGATAAGTAGATGAAAAGATGTTCAATATCATCATTAAGGATATGCAACCCAAAACCACAATGAAATATCCCTTCATACCTACTAGGATGGCTATAACAACAGCAACAAAGAGAAGATAGTGTTAGTGAGGATGGGGAGAAACTGGAACCCTTGTGAAGCGCTGGTTAGAACGTAGGATGGTTTAGATGCTATGGAAAACAATATGGCGGTTCCTCAAAAAATGAAACATAGAGTTACCATATGACCTAGCAATTCTGTTCCTAGGTATACACCAAAGAACTGGAAACACGGACTCAAATAGTTACTTCCATGCCAATGTTTATTGCAGCATTATTCACAACAGCCCAAAGGCGAAAACAACCCAAGAGTTCATCAACAGATGAATAAATAAACAAAATGTGGCACACACACACACACACAAATACACACTGGGATATTATTCAGCCACAAAAAGAAATAAAGTTCTGATACATGTTACAACATGGATTGACTTTGAAAACTTTGAAAACTTTGAAAACATTATGCTAAGTGATATAGGCCAACAAAAAGGACAAATATTGCATAATTCTACTTGTATGAAATATCTAGAATAGGGAAATTTATAGAGACAGAAGTTAAATTAGAAGTTACCAAAGGCCAAGGGAGAGGAGCACAAGGAGTTATGGCTTATTGCTCTCTCTTTAGGGTGCTGAAATTTTGGAAATAGATAGTGCTGATCATTTTACAACATTGTGAATGTAATTAGTAAAATTTAAAGAAAAAATACAAAAAGGAACAGAGAATACTATAGCAGCCACCCATGCCACCACGGGGTAGAATTGATAAATATTAACAATTTTATTTTATTTACTTCAGATATTTCTTAAAAATAAAGCAAAACAGTGGCAATGGTTATACAACATTGTGAATGTAATTTGTAAAATGTAAAGAAAAAATGCAAAAAGGAACAGAGAATAATATAGCAGCCACCCATGCAACCACTGGGTAGAATTGACAAATATTAGTATTTTATTTACTTCAGATTTTTCTTACATTGCTGATAAAGTTATTCCCATGTAGCAGATATGATTAGTACCCCATGCCACATCCCTTGGCCAATCTCTTTAGGCCTCTTGCAGCTATGGCGGATGGTTTCCAGGCATGCTGACTGCTTACACCCTGGGGCACACATTCTCTGCCCCAGGGCTCCCTCTAGTGGCAAGAGAACTTACTTAGCCTGTCCACAGGGCATGCCAAAGGACTAGAGGCACAATGCTCCAAGATCAACCCTCCATCAATGAGAGAAGGGAGTTGGAAAATAATTATCCCAGCTACCTTGTCCCTTAGTGGACTGATTCTGAGGCATGGCTATTCCGGAGGTTCCTACTGAGATTGAGTCCCAATTGCCCTAGATTCATACACACTTTATTGACTTATTCCCCTTCCTGTCTCTCTTTCCCTACGTCCTTATATCTTTCTGCTGTTGCCACCCCAATAAACTACCTGCTTCGGACTCCTTGTTTCAGGCTCCGTTTTCAAAAGAGTCCAAAGTAGGACAGCCCCTTCCACTCTGTTCCTTTCTTCATTCATAAGAAGCAATCACTTTCATGAAAAGGGTGTAAATGCTCCTGACCTATGTTTTTAAACTTGTGGCTAATACATCAACAATATATAGTTTAATGGATTTTAATAGTTTTGTGGATGGTATCATTTTGTATGTGTATGGGTGTGTGTGGTTGTACAACTTATTTTTCTCACTCAATGTTTTTGAGATTGCTCCATGTGATAAGAGAGACCTGGTTCATTTTTGTAACCACTGTGTGTAATTCTCACTATTGTATGACTGAACCACATTTCATTTAGCCACTTACCCCCATGATGAGCATTCATGCTTTTCCCCTGTGTTTTGCTGTTAGAGAACATGTTTCAATGAGCACTCTACTCTAGTTCCTTTTTTTTTTTTTTTTTTCAGACTGGATCTCACTCTGTCGCCTGGGCTGGAGTGCAGGGGCACAATCTCGGCTCCCTGCAAGCTCCACCTCCCGGTTCATGCCATTCTCCTGCCTCAGCCTCCCAAGCAGCCGGGACTACAGGCTCACGCAGCCATGCCTGGCTAGTTTTTTGTATTTTTAGTAGAGATGGGGTTTCCCTGTGTTAGCCAGGATGGTCTCGATCTCCTGACCTCGTGATCCACCTGCCTCGGCCTCCTAAAGTGCTGGGATTACAGGCATGAGCCACTGCGCCCAGCCTGTCTTGTTTTAAAGAAATGTATTCAGAAGTGCAATTATTAGGTATAGTATATACATAAACAATAATTTAAAAAACTGTTGCAGTGAAACTCACATAACATTAACTATTATAAAGCAAACAATGCAGTGGCATTTAGTGCATTTCACCATGTTGTGCAACCCTTCTCCTCTTTCCAGTTCCAAAACATTTCCATCACTCCAAAATAAAACCCCATACTCCTTACAACAGTGTCTTCCCATTGCCCTCTTCCCTCAACCCTGAGCAACCACCATTCTGCCTCCTTTCTCTGTGGGTGTGCCTATTCTGGATATTTCAAGGAATTCAAATCCTACAGTACGTGACTTTTTGTGTCTGGCTTCTTTCACTGGGCATGTTTTCAAAGTCCATTCACTCTGTTGCATGTATCAGTTCTTTTTATGGCTGAATAATAATCGCATTGTATGGGTAGAGCACGTTGTTTTAATCTATTCATCTGTTTGAGCAACATGGGAGACAGCAAAGTCCAGGAGAAAGAGAATGGGGGTGTTGGTTTGGGTTCTCCCAGAAGCAGACCTTGAGATAAATGATTTGTGCAGTGGTTTATTTGGGAGATGATGCTGGAAAACACTGTGGAGGGAAAGGCAAATGAGGCAGGGCAGAGAGGGGAGCCAATCACAGTTCTTTTATTAAGATAGTTACCAGTGTGGCCAATGGCAGTTCGATCCTGCTGGGGATCTCTGGGAGCCAGTGTAAAGTATGCACCGTGGAGTTATACTGCCTAGGGGGTGACATAGCTGAAGGATTTATCCACCAATGCCTACCAGTCACTGTTTGAGAGCTGCTCCCATGGGACATTAATCCCGTAGGACTTCTGGCTTACCATGTGCATGGTCAGAGTGGACTTTGGTAGCCAGAGTGAGTTTCAAGGGGAACAGTTACAGGTGATGGCAGTGAAAGGGATAGGAGTGGGGCCGGATAGCACCTGCTGAAATCAGCCCAGTTGTCCCATAGAACCAATGTTTATGGATAAACATAGAAATTGACCCTCTTGGTCTTCAAACTTGAAACTTACATTTGTCTTATCTGAGTTCCTTCCTCAGGAAACTGACCATCAGGCCTCCAAGAGAGTATCAATGAAATGAAACTCACCAGATGAGCTGCCAGATTCCTCACTCATCATGACTACCTAACTGACCACCTGCTGCCTGTTGACTAACTCCTCTTCCTTACCCCTCCCTAATTCCTGTTTCCCCACACTTAGTTATGTTCCATCCCTGCTATATGACTCCCCAGTTGTAGTTGGTCTGAGAGATGGATTTGAGACTGAGCTCCTGTCTCCTCAGCTGCCGCACCTGATTAAAGCCTTTTTTCCTGGCAATAATCGTTGTCTCAGTGATTGGCTTTCTGTATAGTAAGCAGCAGGACCAAAACCGAATCCTTGGTATTTCAGTGATATTGCCACAATGAACATTAGAGTCAGATTTGTATTTAAATCTTGCCTCCACTATTTATTAGCTATGCCATCTGGGGCAATTCCTTAATTTCCTCCTCTGTAACAACAGTAGTGTCTCCACAAACATTTACTGAGCACTTACTATGTGCCAGGCACTGTGCTAAGCCCCTCGTATACTATTATTTAGTATACACAACCTGATTGGTAACTACTTTTAGTATCCTGCTCTACAGATGAAGAAATGCAATCTTGGAGAGGTAAGGCTGCTGGATCATGTCCTTTCTCCACACTACTCTGTGCAATTGATGATGACCTCTACAGACAGCATGGATCATATTCCCTTGTCTTCTGACTTCTGTTGCTTTGTGCAGTGGAAGTCACTGACCAGTAATTGTAGTGAGAGGTTGGAGTATTTACCCCGCTGGCTTCCTCCCTGCTGGGCCATGGATCATCAGTGCTGTGTTCCCCTACTGAAGGTGCCAGGCCTCTTGGGTTCTGTAGGAATTTCCTCTCGCTGCTCATTTAGGTTCAGAGGTGGAAATGGCTTCCAGTTGCTATCAGTCCCTGAGCATTTCAGTATCCCTTAATCCTGCTTACATCTTGTCCATGGTTCCTTTGTTAAATTCTCTTTAATCATTCCTTTCAAGTGTGCTGTTTCTTGCCAGAATCTGCAGTGACCCAGTGATTCACCCTAAATCATAGAGCTCTCTGTGGCTGTGGCTCTCTGATCCCCAAACCCATGCTCTTCATCCCTATCCTTCATTTCCCAATCACACACGTAATGCTTTTGCATTCAGAAAAATGAAGTTTTTAAAAAAGCGTAGCATAACTATTATGCACCAGGACAGTTAACTGTAATAAAATAGAGTGTTTACTAACTTCTTGAGGTCAAAGATAACATCTGGTCCATCTATGTATCCACAGAGCCCAGAAAAGATAAATGACCTTCCCAAGGTCATACAAGTGGTGAGCGGCCATATAGAACGAAATTTGGGTTATCTGAACCGTCTCATACTTCCTCCCTTATTTATATTTAAGTAATTCTAGGAAGCATGTGCAGGGGCTGGAGGAGGCAGGGGAAGACACCAGAATGAGTGAGGGTTTTGACTCAAGAGTCAATTTCCTGCTGCGCACTGCAGCTCCCCACTTGCAGGCTGTGCAAACATGTTGAGTCACTTTGCCTCTCTGATCTGCCATTGCTTCATGCGTAAGATGGGGATAGTTAGGACTGCCCTCATAGGAATATTTTGAGAATTCAATGAAATTGCGTCTTTGAGTGCCTAGCACAGTGCCGAATTCCTGGGAAGCGCTCAGCAAGTGTTAGCTGTTATTGTTATTCCAACATAAAAAAGAGGTGACTTGACACCGCGAGAGTTTATTTCTCATTCACGCTGCATTAGCAGAATGGTTCTGCCTTTTGTCTGGGAAACCCAATAGTCCGTTACTGCAATGCAAGTTTCAGAATGCTGGGAATCTTGTCTGTCTTGTTCTCTGTTACATGTGTAGTCTGGTACAAGGGAGGTTCTGAAGGGGGCAGAATATACCACCCCAAGATAAGAATTATTTTGAGCTTAAAGGCAATGGAAAGACAGCAGATGCAAGGAGGGCATTTTAATCTCATCTTTTCTTCCTGAAAACAGGAGATAAAAACTCCCATGTGAAAGATGTCCTCCCTATATCAGGAAAAAGGAAACATGCTTCATGGAGAGTTGTAGCTGAGAGAATTCTGTGCAAACAGACCTTGTGAAAATCATTCTTATCTTCCTTTAACCTCCCCACATAATTCAGTTACTTTCCCACAATTGTCTCTCTTTGTTTAATGGAATATAAAAGTATTTAGGTCTTGCCACTTCTTTGGGTCCTCACTTCTTATTTTTAAAATTTTATTATTATTTTTTTGAGATGCAGTCTTGCTCTGTCGCCCAGACTGGAGTGTAGTGGCGCAATCTCGCCTCACTGCAACCTCCGCCTCCCGGGTTCAAGTGATTCTCCTGCCTCAGCCTCCTGAGTAGCTGGGACTACAGGAACATGACACTATGCCTGGCTAATTTTTTGTACTTTTAGTAGAGATGGGGTTACACCGTGTTAGCCAGAATGGTCTTGATCTCCTGACCTCGTGATCTACCTGCCTCGGCCTCCCAAAGGGTTGAGATTACAGGTGTGAGCCACCGCGCCGGGCCCCAGGTCCTCACTTCTTATAAGGGCTCCTGTATTACGTAAAACCGATATAAATTTATATGCTTTCCTCTTGTTGATACGTATTAGGTCAATGTAATTCTCAGGCCCAGCCAAAAACCCTGAGAGGGTAGACATACAATTTTGCCTCTTCTACGATGTTCTGCACATACTTGTCAAATAAAAGGACGAGTAAGTGGAATTGGAGTGGAGTAGTCATTAGTGTTGTCCAGGTATTTCCATGATAGCATCCTCCTTCCTGCCCTTTTGAAGTTAAGTGTGACTTGCTTTGGCCAATTACATGCAGGTAAAAGGGAAGTGTGTTGGCCAGTGGCTTTACAAGCCAGTGCTAGAACTGCCGTAACCATATCCATGGCTCTGGTGATCATGGCAATTCTGCTGTGGGTCTGAGTTGGCCTGAGCCTTTTGGTGACAAGCAGACATCTTCCTCCCACTGACCTGCATTGGGCATGTAACATGGGCAATAAATAAACGTCTGTTAATGAGATTTGGGGGATTGTTTGTTACTGCACCTAGCCCATACTTACTGATACATATGACCACGACTTAATGGAACTTTTTTGGTATTATTAAAAATTACAAGGGCCAGGCATAGTGGTTCATGCCTGTCATCCTGGCACTTTGGGAGGCCAAGGTGGGTGCATCACTTGAGGTCAGGAGTTGGAAACCAGCCTGGCCAACATGGCAAACACTATCTCTATTAAAAATACAAAAAATTATCCCTGCATTTTCATGCATGCCTGTGATCCCAGCTACTCAGGAGGCTGAGGCGTGAGAATCACTTGAACCTGGGAGGCGGTGGTTGCAGTGAACTGAGATCACGCCATTGCACTCCAGCCTGGGTGTGAGACAGTGAGCCTCTGTCTCAAAAAAAAAAAATTACAAAAAATACCAAATGTACTCAACTGAAGTATCCCATAAATGTTGGTTTCTTCAAGGCTTCACTTGGAGACTCTGTATATGTGTTTCTCAATTACCGTCATCACTTGAAAGATGCTTTTAGAATTGCCACAGGCACCTGCAACACATTTATTTGCAAGTCCTTGGCTAGAAAATCATTACTCTTTGGGGGAAAAAGTTCATGTTTGCAAAGAGGCCAAATAAAAAGACACTGGAGTCAGGCTTAGAATGTAAGGTAAGATTCAGCAGGCTGGGATAATTTTGGGTCAAAATCCAGACAAGACTTTCAAGAAATGGGGTTTATTTTGCTTGCTACATAATCTGGCCTAGAATTAATCACATTAGCTACCTGTTATTAAATAATTAATTAATATTATTGTAGAGACGGGGTCTTGCTATGTTGCCCAAGCTGGTCTTGAGTTCCTGGGTGGTCTCCAAGCAATCCTTCCTCCATAGGCTCCCGAAGCCCTGGGGTTACAGAAATGAGCTGGGCCTATTGGCTGTCAGTTATCAAACATTTCTTTTGTGGCAGGCATAGAGCTAGGCACACTCCTTACAAAATCTGGAAAGGTGGGTTTTGAATCCCCATGGTACACACTGGCTCAAGGAGGTTAAGTTCTTCCCTTAGTCTCCAACACACAGCTATTAAGTAGACAGCTGAGATTTGCCCACAGGTTTCTGTGACCCTAGAGCACTTAAACTAAAGGGAAAACAGAACCCGATTCTCTGCTAAAGGCCAGATGAAAGTGGTAACATGAATGCTCAGTGAGGTTTTTTTTTTTTTTTTTTTTTTTTTTTTGAGGCAGAGTCTCACTGTGTCTCCCAGGCTGGAGTGCAGTGGTGCGATCTCGACTCACTGCAAGCTCCGCCTCCCGGGTTCACGCCATTCTCCTGCCTCAGCCTCCCGAGTAGCTGGGACCACAGGCGCCCACCACCTCGCCCGGCTAATTTTTTGTATTTTTAGTAGACACGGGGTTTCAGTGTTAGCCAGGATGGTCTTGATCTCCTGACCTCGTGATCCGCCCATCTCGGCCTCCCAAAGTGCTGGGATTACAGGCGTGAGCCATCAGTGAGGTTTTTGTTCCTTTCACTCTTATCCTAGAAAGGCAGTATAGCATAGCGGTTAGTGTGCAGTCTTTGACTGCCACTGCCCGCCCCCCATCCATTTCTTCATCTGTAAAATAGAGCAATGATCATCCCATGGCCAGATTATTGTGAGGACTGGATGAGTTGTTTTCTATAGTGCTTTGCATATAATTAATTATTAACTTTCCTGTGACCCCATACCGAAAGCACCTTCTGTTAATTTGAACACTTACTATAAACTGGGCACCCAAGTCCATGGAGTCAGGAGCCTGATCGTGTGTTTGAATCCCATCTGCACAAGTTCTTGGACAAGCCCCTGGACTTTTCTGTTACATTTTCTCATCTGCAAAATGGGGGTAATAATTGTACCCACCTCATGGTGTTGTTGTGAGGATTAAATGAGTGTATGCACATTGTCTAGAACTGTACCTGGCAGAAGCATCATCATCCTGAGACAAGTTATTTCTTAACCCTTACAACCACGATGCAAGACAGACGATATTAACCCATTTTACAGAAGAAGAAACTGAGGTAAGATGTGGATCCAGAATATGAACTCAGATCCAGCTCTTTCCATTCTATCAGACTGCTACATTGGGCCGAATGTGGCGGCTCACTCTTGTATTCCCAGCAGTTTGGGAGGCTGAGGTGGGCGGATCACGTGAGGTCAGGTGTTCGAGACCAGCCTGGCTGGTGAAACCTGGTCTCTACTAAAAATTCAAAAATTAGCCAGG